ACAACTACAATTTTATTAGGGAATGAATACGATTCTTTTTCTTTATACGTATATACTACAAATGCATATAGAAAGTGATGAAATAAAAGATAAAATACATAAACTTGGTATAACATGAATTATTGAATATACTAAATAAGTAATTCTATATTAGAAAGAGAAAGATCTATCAATTGCTGGGATGAACAACAATTTACTCCTGGTTTGCCTATTATTCGAGTAGGAGATATTTTAAAAGTCAATCTTATAGTTCAAGAAGCTAATAAATCACGTTTTCAAGCAATAGAAGCTACTGWGATTGCTAAGACAAGTAGTAGGTCTAATAGGATAGTTAATTTACGTAAAGTAGTTCACGGAATTGGGGTAGAACGTTTAATTCCTATTCATTCGAGTATGGTAGCGACTCTTCAAGTAATAAGACATTCTAAAGTATGAAAAGCTAAGCTTTACTATTTACGTTCTTCATTTGGAATTTTATTTTAATTCTTGTTTTGCAAATTTTATTTTTTGTAAATTATCTTCTTTTGGTGCTCTTATAAATAGGTACGCCCCCACCCCCCGGGCATGCCACGCTCAACCACGAACTCTCAACGCGCAGCCGCCGAAGTCGCCGCTGCTGCCGACGCCTCCACCTCATCTGCTGCTAACTCCTCAGCCGCCGCTACCACAGCTTCCTCCCCCACCATGGCCCAATCATCCAGCATTGATATGTCCGGCATCCGCACCGACTCCGTCGACAGGTGAGCAAACACCAGCACCCGTTGCCGCAATCGACCTCGCGACACTTTTCCGCCTGATGACATCCCTCCAATCATCCATGGACGACATCAAAACATCCGTTTCCTCCATCTCTGCTCGCGTGACCACCATTGAAAGTCACACCCCCGCTATCCAGGTCGTCACCACCACATCCCCCCCTCCTCACCTCGGGTGCCACCATCCTTCTCCCATCCTTCGCCTCCACATCTACACCAATCACCCCGTCCTCCACATCCAGCCCCCTCTCCGCTAGCACATCATCCACACCTCAGCCTTCATCAATTACAACCTCCACCCTGGTCACCAACACGACAACCCCTGCCGTCACGCAGTCATCAACCATTCCCTCCCATTCAAAACCCCTCAGACTTCATCTACTATCACGCAGTCATCAACCATTCCCTCCCATTCAAAACCCCTCAGACTTCATCCACTATCACTTCCACCCATACACAAATCACCCCCGCTCCCCATTATCCCAGTATCTCCTCCGTCCACACTCCTCCCAACCAATCCCACTACCGACTTCACCCGGGTACTGTCCTCCTCACCCAAACTTGATTTCAACACCCTCGCCATCACGACACCCTTAACGGGTAACATTCCCCCGTCCTTCCGATTAACGGATATCCCCCCCTTCACCGGCCTTCCCCACGAGGACGTCTTCGTCTTCCTCAGCAAACTATACGATGCCTTCTCCCTCCACAACGTCCCTGTCATACATAGGCTCCCTATTGCCAGCACCAGGCTAGAGGAAGGTGCTGCTCGTTGGTGGTACACCGAACGAGCTAACTGCCAACACGCAAACGAGGAACCCCATTCCTTCCTTCAGTGGGCCAATCTCATCACCTGCACATTCAGACCACAAAAGACGGTCGATGACTACTTTGAGCAACTCTGTCGTCTTCGACAGAACGGCCCGACCGACCGCTTTGTCCAATACGTCTGTGCGTTGAGGCAACACATCCCCCTCGACTACGTCAGCGATGCCGCATTCATCTTCCGCTTCAAATGGGGATGCCGCAAGGACCTAGCCGCCTCCCTCGTCCACGACCCCTCAATGTCCCTCTCCGATCTCCTCAACCGCACCATTCCCCTAGACAAATTCCTCACCCTGTACAAGGACACACTCACA